AAATACGTTCACATAAAATTTGAATTTTAAAAAATTAATTGAGTAAATGAGATGTTTTGAATGTACAATAAATTGTGTACAGCAAATTTAGAAATGCCATTAAATAATCATTAATATCAATCAATATATATTATAAAGGTATGTGTACATTGTGCGAGCCTCTAAAACTCAAAAATGAGTCTTGGTACGATAAAGGAAGTTATATCTTGTAGTAGCCCTCTATCCCACATCCACGAAGAAGGATTTACCCTGTAGAATTTTCTAAATTTTTCCTTATAGAAATTTCTACAGGGCGAAATTTCCAGCCCTTATATTATTAACAGCACGCCCATTAGGTAAACAGTCTAGAACATTCGAGAGTATTCGAGAGCATTCCACAACATTTCATAATGTTTCGGGTTGTTCTGGAACGTTCGAGAACATCACGAAATATCCCAGATGAAATGTTGTGGAATATTCTGAAACATTGTGGACCATTCGAAGTCATTTTGTATTAGTGGGACTACCCATTGGTGGGAGTATATAAAGCAAGATCTGTGGTGGGTTCGAACGTTAGTTTCTTATCAGTGACGAAGGGAAGAAGCGAAAAAGAAATGAAAATTCGAATGTAGTGCAGTGAGTGAATAAAAACAAACAATGAAATGTGAGTAGTTAAAGTGATACAGTAACTGATTATATAATAGAAGGGTTAGAAGTACGAAATAATCTAATATTCTCAATGTTTATACTCACTTTTTGCCTGGGCAACGCTGGGCTTTCTTGCTAGTTCAGATGTGGGGCCGACAAGGGGGAGAAAAACTCGATGAACGATAATATGTGATAGGAGAAACCGGGGCAAGATCGGCATGTTAAGTTTTACTTAAATTTTGTGTAATAAATACTGCTGTAAACTGAAAAAAAAGCTTTGCATATTGTCTATTGGAATGTTACCTTACTATAGAACTGGTTAAAATCAGTTTGGAAATAAAAATAATTAAAATAATTACAACTTTACAAGAAGAGAGAAATTGACGAAGTTGCCCCGGGTATAGGGGCAAGATCGGCAACTTCTCTCTTTTTGTAAAGTTGTAATTATTTTAATTATTTTTATTAAAGTTGCCCCTGGTATAGGGGCAACAGTAATGGGGCAAGATAGGCACGTATATAAAATTATGTTATTAACAATGTATAAGTTGGAATTCACTATTAAAACAAAGAAATACAAATCCAACACCCATTTAATATTATTACAACGAAATGCAAGTTCAAAGACATATATACATGAATAACAAATGCAAACATGTTTTCATTTATCATCTGTTTGATTTTTATCCTTTGCTTCTAATGTGGCTTTATGTTGCCGATCTTACCCCGCTAGTCATGATTTCGAAACATTAAGTACAACCCTGAGAACAGAATGCCAAGCCACGATCTGGCCACGTGAATAAGTTGAAGTTACATCCTTCTAACAGGAAAAGTAACTTTCGTTATCATGGAATTATAACAAAACCTGCCAATTCAATATAAATGGAAAAAAAATATTATATGGAATTGAACGAAAATGAAAATTTGCTTGATAATTCAACTACGCTTGTTGGAGAACAATAAAAACACTACACTCAACAAGCCACCAATAAAACTCAACTGCCTAACCTATAACCAAAGTCTCCTTTTAATTTGTTTTTAAAAAAAAGCGCTTGACAAACTTGCCCCGCATGCCGAAGTTGCCCCGGTCTCCCCTATATATCGTCATCGTCTCCCTTGCCGTTTGGATTGCCGAGCGGTAACAATCAACGACATGTGGAAGCAGTTGAGTCAGAGATAGATGCTTCGTTTATAAACCACACAACCGTTTATTAAACACGAAAGAAGCTTAGAAGATTTCCGCAATCTTGGATGTACTACGGCGGCTGCGGCCTCTGGGTTTTCCTCTCCTTTCCAAGATAGTCCCATTTTGAAGGAGTGTCCCTTGTTCGCGAATGAACCATTCCATTACGTCTCGACGACTCCGGGACGATGCGGTCGACTTCCGTTGATGGAAAGATGTCGATCCGACGTCGGGAGATGGAGACGAAGATGAATGCGAGACACGCACACAACAACAGATCCGTCACTTGGAACTTTCGGAAGAAGAAGCCGTCGCGTCCTCGAATTTCCGGCGTTTTATTTGTTTTCTCTTAGATTCCCCTTTTTGATTGGTCTCTCCTCATCACCTGATGACAACCCGAAACCTTTCGGGAGCGCGGGAAAGATCAAAATCGAAGTTTAATTCGATCTCCAACCGGAAATGGTCGACGGACTTACATTCTTCTATTGTTTAAAAGTTAGCGTAGCGTTTTCATAAAATGAAAATCTATTTCNCTCTCCTCATCACCTGATGACAACCCGAAACCTTTCGGGAGCGCGGGAAAGATCAAAATCGAAGTTTAATTCGATCTCCAACCGGAAATGGTCGACGGACTTACATTCTTCTATTGTTTAAAAGTTAGCGTAGCGTTTTCATAAAATGAAAATCTATTTCTAACTACTATATTATTTTCTTTAAAACAATTATTTTAACGCGAAGTTTAGTGAGGGTTCGGTCCTGTCCAGAGCCTCACACAGAATAAAAACATGTATCAAACTAATTTTTATCGGGGTAATAAGCGCTATAAGCAGTTAAGGACCGAGTTTATCGTAACGCTATATAAACTTGACGAAATAACTTGTCAATGGGCGTTAAGTTTTCTTAAACTTATAACTAATTCCTATTTTGATTTCATTTACACCTTTTTTTGATAATTTCATGTTGTTGCATACATGATCAAAGTTTGATATGATAACTAACGTATTCTATTGGTTATGGCCATTGAAATCTAGGCCATCCTGTAGCGTGTCTATAAGGTTTTTGGAATCTTTATATCAGTTTTGTTTAATACGAATATATCTTTTCTTTTCTTAACGGCTATAAATTGTCGGCACTTAAACTCTTATTTAGCCTCTTATTTTTATTATTTTTATAATTATCTAGTTTTTTGCTTTAGTTTTTCTAGGCTATTTTCCTGTTTAATGCCTAGTTTCATCAATTTTTCTTTGTTTTTTTCATTTTAATATATCGCAGCTTTTAATATTTTTAGGTTAATTATCTCCATTTTTCTACTAAGTATCACTTTCGTAACTGATGTTGATAAAGATAAAATTCTAAGTGTTCTTTTTTCTTTGTCGTGTATTTTAAAGTAATTTATATCAACGAGATATTTCTGCATCTCACCTTCCATTTTTGTTTTTAAGTGTATTTTCCTTCTTTCCTCTCTGTTTTTCCTTCATGTTATGGCACATCTTATAAATTAATTTACCTTAATATAGTTGTTATCTCAATTTATCCAATTTGGTTATATTTGTGTATTCTGAGACTGTGTCTTCTTTTCTTTGTGTTTTTATCGATACGACTAGGAGCACATATAGACACTAGAGATTTCAACATCATCTTTATTCTAAATATCTTATAGGCCAATACGCGTTTCGTGCATAAGCCCCACATCTGTCGACTTCTGGGGTTTCTTATGGGTGGTGTTGACACGTATACTTTCTGTTTAAAATTACTTATTTACAGTTAAAATTGTTCACTGTTAAAATACCATTACAGTTTAAAATGTATTTACAATTAAAATTACTATTACATTTAAAATTGAAAACTTTAAATGTAATAGTAATTTTAATTGTAAATATACTTTAAACTATAAAAGTAAACGAACCTCTGATTGTAATTCCTTAAAATTTTGATGTTCATATGATAGATATACTGTAAACCGTGAAAATAATTGCCGACTTTTTATCTGTATCTATTAAAATTTTAAAAATAATAGAATTACTATAAAAATCAGTTTTACAAACTCTTTAGAATGTTTTGCTACGAAACTAGGCTCCGTGAACACTGTGTTAAATAGAGATTTTTCTTGTGGAGCGTAATTGCCTTGAAATGAATAATAATCTGTATATTATAAAAGTATGTTATGCTATTTCGCAATAATAATTTTTTAAAATGAATTTTTTTAATATCCTAGTAAATTAAACCAAAAATATATATAGGCCTATTTATTTTATTTTATTTTACGTTAACAATAAACCAAAGTTTATTATATTCTATTTAATTATCAAAATGTGTTTTGTATTAATTATTAATAATTAATTTTCTCAATGCAGTATTACACTTATCACTAATCATACAATATAAAAAATATTAATTGTATAAATATTTTATATTTAACACACGACGTATATCAACTAAATATCATGGAAAAATAATATTCCCATATGAACATTTATACCAATACTTTTATTTCAGTATCCACCCAGAGCCGTATTTTATAAACTCATCAATATAGTTTCAAATTGTGTCAAATGCATTCATTAATTGTTCATTATTTATATACGACGACAAAATATGCTTAACACAACTAGAAAAATAAACATCCTCATACTTGGTAATATAATGTTTTCATATTTAATTAATGCACTTTGTAGCAGAAAAGTTTAAATAAATTTTACAAACAAGATTATCATTCACTAATATATTGATATTATAAATATTTTTTTTTATCAAAAAATGGACTGATCAGTATTTATAAAATAAGACACCGAAAAGTTTAGCATGAACCTCTAAAAGCTATATTTTAAACATTTACACGATTGTCTACTAAATGATCATTCATTGCATCGAATTCTACCATCTTTGTAAATTGATTCTTACATATTAAAACCGAAAACGCTCATTGAGGAAAAAAGTCCACAACGCGCTGTGGACAATTTAAAGTGAATAGAAAGAGAAATGAAACCTTAGGAACTCACGTGTACAGAATGTCATGATTATGTTGACGTTATCTCTGGAGAAAGCAACGACAATGAAGGATTTGGTGCAAATGTTATTTGCAAGCTTTCTTTCAGAAAGAACAGCATCAATGCTAAGAGAAAATATGCCAATTCTGGCCAACAAAAACAGGCACATAAAATTATTTCATTATCGAACTCAAAATTTTCTGCAGCTGAAATTGGTTCAAATGATCTAGATAGAGTGCGTGATGTTGATTCAGATCGTGTAGCTCCTAGAAATGTGTTAGCAGTTAATACGAGAATTAATCTATCAGGTAGGAAACAAGGAAGGTCTTCTTGATCGACTTTTTGCTTGTAATGAATTTACAATCTAAGAGTGACTTTATTAACATTCATTAACACTTCGCTTAGCATTCATGTTAACATCTGGAAATAAGCAACGATTTAAAATATGTTAATGAAAAAGATATTGTATTGATAAAAATGCAAATGTCGCTCAAAAGCATGAAATGCAAATTGGAACATCACAGTAATAGTTCTTGTAAACATAAATAACTTTGCAAATTTTTTATTTTAATAAAAAAAGACTTATTTATTAATCAAAGTTCCTGACAAAGTGATTATTTTTAGTAAAGTAGTTATTAAAAACGTTCACATCTTAAGCACCGCAACAGATTTTCATGAATGACTAAATGTTGTTGAAAAGTAACAAAGTTACATTTCTGTACGTGTTGAATAATTTTGTCAGTTAGATAAATAAGATAATTGAAGATAAATACATCATAATGAAAAAGAAAGCTTTATTTACTTATCAAAATTTCGTTATCACTTACCATTCAGAACTTGAGGTTGCTTATAACTATAATAAGTGCATCGCACAGTGGTGTTTATGTTTAGGAGCTAATTTTTATATCAGGGTGTAGCGTATATTAAGCAACTACCAGTATATGTAGTTTGTACCAGTACTAACCTAACTTAATGACTTTATATAATTAAATTTAATCCTGAGATAACATTTGTTTTATAAAGCTTTAAATACAACATTATCGATGCATTACTACAGTAAATATGCTTACAGGTACCAAATTGCATGCGATATGTCACTAGAATTACACTAAGTGTTACAAGTATAGTACAAGTTAAAAAAAATATTTTAACGATTTTCTTAATGTTTTAAAATTATATCAAATTAAAACTTTTATGATTTTATGAGTAGTAAATACCAGAAACAGAAACGAGAAAAAAACGAGATGAAAAGAATTTTTAAAAAAATGCATTAACTGTATAAAACTTAATGAAATAAATAGAAGTCTACTGAAGTTTAACTGATCTCCTCTATCTTGTGCAATTTTTTCTGACTTGTGTAAACTCCTCCCTTTACCCTCTCTTCTAGTTTGGACATTATATATGTGTTACCGCTAAAGCTCGAAAGTCGTTAATGTGTACATTACCTAGCTAATCTGCAGATTAACTAGGGTGATCCGTTAAAGTTGCTAAAATTGTTCTATTTCTCAAATTACCTAGGTAATGTGCAGATTATCTAGGTAATCTGCAAATTACCTACTAGGCACTCGGTAAAGTGAAAATAAGATCTTTGCTGAAACAACAGCAACGTTTCTGTACGCTTAAATTAACATAATGTTCTTTATTTAATTTTCGATATCTAAAGAATCAAGTTAATACAATCAAACAATCGACAAATTAGTTGATAGAATCAATCATCAACCAATTAAAAAACATACAAAAAATCAAACGATTTAAAATATTAATACAATTAGGGAAATTATTATATAGATAACCACCTATGGAATTTCGGGACTTTGAGTATCTATCTGAACTGAGGGGACCGAGACGACTTCAACGATACCCTACTTTTGGACCGGAGACGAAAAATAATAAAGTTATCATACTTTTTCTGGTGATCGCATGATATAATTGTGCAGTTAATGTTACCTATGGTGAGTAAAATGGCGGCTCGTCTCTGATTCCAGCAAAGAGAAGAAAGGAAACAGTGGGGACGCACGTTCAAACCTAACCTAACCTATTCTAATAATTTGGTTGGTAATAATTATGGTAATTTATTAGAATAGGTTAGGTTAGGTTAGAACGTGCGTCCCCACTGTTTCCTTTTTTCTGTTTGCTGGAATCAGAGACGAGCCGCCATTTTACTCACCATAGGTAACATTAACTGCACAATTATATCATGCGATCACCAGAAAAAGTATGATAACTTTATTATTTTTCGTCTCCGGTCCAGAAATAGAGTATCTTTGAAGTTGTCTCAGTCCCCTCAGTTCAGATAGATACTCAGTCCCTGAATTCCATAGGTGGTTATCTATATAATAATTTTCCTAATTGTATTAATATTTTAAACCGTTTGATTTTTGTATTAGTTTTTTAATTGGTTGATGATTGATTCTATGAACTAATTTTTTGATTGTTTGATTGTATTAACTTGATTCTTTAGATATCGAAAATTAAATAAAGAACATTATGTTAATTTAAGCGTACAGAAATGTTGCTGTTGTTTCAGCGAAGATCTTATTTTTACTTTACCGAGTTCCTAGTAGGTAGTTTGCAGATCACCTAGATAATCTGCACATTACCTAGGTAATTTAAGAAATAAAACAATTTTAGCAACTTTAACGGATCACCCTAGTTATTTGCAGATTAGCTAGGTAATGTACACATTAACGACTTTCGAGCTTTAGCGGTAACATATGGACAACTCCTTATAAGTAAAATTATTTTAAATATTCATTTAGTTTCATTTTTATATCTAATAGCATAGTCATTAAGAATGTCAACCCAATAATACAACACAATTAAATTCAACCGAAAGTCTGGCTAAATAAAAATTTATATTTAACATATAAAACTAACAATGTTTATATTAAAATGATAAAAAAATTATTAATTAATCACACGAATAATAAATTTCTTCGTTGGGAACATTTCAGTCATTTGAACATCGCTGTAAAACCCAGATATAAAAATGTAGGAAGTTATGATCACAGTAATGCGAGCTTCAGAAACTTTATAAGTGTGTCACTACTATTATTGATTAATATCATCATGGTTACCTGGCTATTATAATGAAAACAAAAATGAAATCCAATTTTTATTACGTAGTGTATTGCTATTAATCGCCATCCAAACATTTGCTATGTAATTTAAGATCTGAATTTTCCATTAAATGTAACAGTAAAAACTAAATGATTTTGCAAATTTACTGCATTGACTGGGTATTATTCTATAATATTTTGCATAAAAACATTTATTCTTTCCAATAAAAATATTTATGAAAGTAAAAAATTGAAGTCAGTTATACACTTATTGCGTTAAAATGATATGCATTGTTATAAAAAGTTTATTTTAAGTGTTCAATGCTCTTCATTTTTTAAAATATCTCTATATTCAAATCAATATCGTATTGATATATTTATAGTAACTGATTTTAAAGTTTAGTATTGTGAAAAATTTATAAAATTAACAAATAAAGATAACAGACAGATACTAAATTTTATAACATTTATTATATATTTATATTAATGCAATTATTATAATAAGTGTAGACACAAAAAGTCAGCAACGCTAAATTTAAAAATATCTAGCGAAGAGTTGCATCACTTTTTTCAGTGTCATAAAATGTTTAAAATTATAACTTTTATTTCATTAATTAACGATAATATATAAAATATGTGGTTAAATCTATTACAAGAATATGTTATAAAACAGTTTTTTTTATATTATTACAAAATAGCTTTGAAGCTTTTTTGCTATTTTGTAAGCTATTTCATTTTGAAGATTATTTCGGATTTTATAAAACAATTGTAAGTGCAAATAATAAATAAATTTCTTATTAATCTTTTTCGCACATGCTAGTGTTTGCTTTACATTTCATTTCTCGATATTTTGTTTACGATATACTCATTTCATATTATATTAAAATCCGTAAGATGATAAGAATTTTTCCCTTTTGATATTGCTTGCATTCGATATATCGTGACTACAAATGATTATAAAGCAATTACACTGATAGCATTTATTATTGTTTTTCGATTTAAAAAATAAATATATATATATTATAACAATAACCGTTTATCTAAACGAGCAGCAAATACTAGTTATTATCGATAGTTATTGTTATTTAATTATCATAGAAGGCATTAATTTTTTTCTTTGTAGAACGTATTGATTTCAGTTACTAAAATAATACCATATAATAAAGGAAAATTATCGTCATAATCGACGTTCTGAATTTCATCAAATTATATTTTATTGCTACTTATAAGTAATTACGTTATTATTTTGAGTATTTAATATAATTTCTGTAATTTTATTTTAAGATTGCTCCAAAGTTTTTCTGTTGTTCTAAAATAAAAACTAGAGAAAATACGGAGGACGAAAATGAATATAATTGCGACCGATTTTTTGCATTTCACGGTTTCTTCACATCTCTGGAGCATATATAGGTCGAAAGAAACATCACAGTATTTTGTACCGTGTTTGTGTACAAAGATTGCATTTTCGAAATGAAAACAATAATAATTTGCAAGAAATAATTAATTAAAACAGTTTTTTTCAAGTTTTAGTTCGTAAACTACAGAAACACTTGATTCCACGACATTTTTATTCATCTTAACATATGCTACATTAATTACTAGATAATTACGTGCTCATAGTTTTCACGTAGATTTTTATTTGCTTTTATATGACATAATACATAATATAAGATAAATGATATAACATATAGAGCAAGCGTTCTAAATTAAAGAACAATTGTAATAAAATGAGACAAAAGTTTTATAATTAAAAGTTACGTGAGCTGTCCCGTGAAAAGGGAAACACGTTCTTTAACAGATCAATTATTATTTCTTGTATGTTTTCTAAAAAAATCACCAAAATTCAAAAATGCTTCAACAGATACAGAAAGTAATGACTACAAACAGCTAAAATCATTAATTTATAGAGAAACTAACAACAAACAGAAAAAAATGTTTGTTAATTAAGAACGAATTAAGCAAAAATGTAATATTGAATATAAAACTTTTATGATGTTACACACTAGATAGATAAAAAAGTATATCTTCGTCATTATAACATAGTCTTCGAGGAAAATATGTAAACAAATATTAATAAACAGACAAAATTTTTTTAGGAACGAAAACCTGATTTTTTCGTTAATTATGGCCGAAACTCAAGCATAATCAAATATAATTTCCGTATCACGCTAATTTCATAAAATTTTCTTATAAGTACTGTACATTATCAGATAATTTAAGATTACAATTTTAATAAAAAAAATTAAATT